CATAAAATGATGGTGGGCCAGGAAAAGAAACTATCAGTAGTATGCGTGGTATCATGAGGGAAGAGCAGAGAGGCTTTGGGGACCAAGGTATTTCCAGCTGGCAGTGCCAGCGGAAGGCAAGGGTCAGTAATCTCAGAGCCCTCCCAGTAGCTGCTTTCCTTTGCATTCTTCACCAGTATAATGCATTCATTTCCCTTAGTCACTGAATGCCACAACCATACAAGGTGCACTGCAGCACTTCAGTGGTTTTTTGACAGGCTGGTAACTTGAAGTCAGTCCAGGCCTTTCCCTGGCAGTTGATTTTGCTTAGTCAAAGTCTGGATTTTTCATGTATGGTTATTTTATTTGACTTAATTGTTTACTTAAAAATAGCTGCAAAAAAAAAAAAAATGTGTAGCATTTGCTCTTAAGGTTTCACTAATAATAAAAGAGAATAGTTTTGTCTTTACTGTAACACAATGTACAGCAGGTAGGGATGAGAAAAATGAGAAACTTCCTTTGTGAAGTCAGAGTGCATTTTAAAGGAAAAATTCTAAAAGAGGTTCAGAAATAAAAATCTCTCTCTTTTCATTTCTTATATATGCATAAGCATAAAAGGGAAGTGCAGAGAGTTAATTTATAATTTTCAAGTCCAATTAAAGTAACGAATAAAAAAAATCTGTGGCATATATTCAAAATTTTTTTTCTGAAGAGAAGTATTTGTACATTCTGATTGGAATATTTGTCTTCTGAAGAATTGAAAAGCACTTAAAAGAAAGACCAAATAGATAGACATTTTCTTAAATCATAGATTATATTATACATGTATATTATACATCTCACAACATGTTCAGCAGTTGTGAGATGCAGTAGCAATCTCTTTTTCCTGCTGAGGTTTTACTGGAAGATCAAAGAAAGAAATCTCCAGTATAGTTTCTCTGTCACTGATACTAAGTCTAAAGCAACATATTCCAACCTTTCATCTTTCAGTAGTTTCATGTACATCTTAATACAATTTCTTAAGGACCAGAGAGAAAATACTTTTAAAAGTCAACATGAAAGTGGCTTTCATTGACTCTTGACTCTTGTTTATGCTCCTTTTCTTCATCTACTGCCATGTTTGCAATTCAGGCTATTTTAGTTGACATGGAGGGCTTTGAGCAGGCTGAAGGATTCAGCAGCTGCAAATTACAGGATCAGCTGTCTGGAAGACTGAGTGAAGTGGGCAGTTGGCAGCCAAATGGGGTACAACCCCTGTAGCCTGAGAAATTCCACAGTCAGTGCTATAGGAAAGCCCATGAGAGGATGACAAAATCTTTACCTTAATATTGCTATGAAACAGTGTAAAAATAAAAAAGCCTAGCTGACATGTGAGATTAATGATTATTAAAATTGTTTTGGCAATGGTGCTTTCTAAAAATCTAATTATGTTATCTAAAAATTATATTATATTATTATGATATGAAACTATATACTATTAAAATGGGGAAGATTTTGCCCATATATGTATAGGCTTTATATTATTACTGTTGACATGGAACTATGTTTTTTTACAGATGTCAATAGATTATTCCTTAAAAGTGCCTGATTTATTTTATCTATCTGCCACTTCTGGTAAGAGCAACTGGCAGCATTTAGATGCTATCTCGTGACAGTGCTGTTCTTTATTTATAAATACAGAGGGTAAAAAGGCACAAAACAGTGTTCTGCTGGTTTTGCTCTACCTAATGCTGTTACCTACAAGGAGTTAGGAAGAATGAAGAGAATGAAACCATCTTCTACCAGGTCTTGATACTGAGCCTAAATAAAATCATGAACTTACATAACTTTTACATGACTTCTTTTGTGCACTATTTCAACTGTGTGAATTATTACAGAAAATTATTAAATTCAGAGCTGTGCTATTTGTAATTGTTTAATTTTACTGAATTATATGTAAATCTAGACATCAGGTACAGTAAAAAGAAAGCGTGACTAGAAAATGTCAACTGGATTTGCCATTGTATTGTTTCCTCTCGATATGCTTGATGTGTGCCAGTCAAGTGTAGAGAAAAGATACAGGTAAATAGGGTGCAGATTTATTAATGCTGTTCTGCTGAACACTAATCAGCATTAACTTCCATGGCAAAAGTTAGCATTTCTTTGTAATTATTTTCTCCTGAAGGCTAGCATTAACTTGTACACAGTTATTCTGTCATTGGCACAGCCTTCACCTTCACACCATCATATGACAGTTAAAATCAAGGAAAGGGGGTATCAGTAGGGCCCAAAATTATTTTTTTACAAGCTTTATGTAGGCCACCCATACTGTCTGTAACCTCAACACTTTAAGAGCTGGTGCTTTGTCTTCTACGGACATGGTAGTCTTATGTGGTAAGATCAGAGAATGTGATTTTGGATGTGACCAAGTTTGGGCTTAGGTTCTCTCCATGTTACTGAAGCTGTAAGGAGCTGTTAATTACCTTGTTAGTACGTAAAGCACTTGGCTGCTGCTGCGTGCCACAGTAATCTGTAAGTAAGTAGACTTTGCTTCTTGAGGAAAAATGACCAACTCCTATCAAGCCATGCAAAAATTAACAGCATATGTTCTTGAATATCTGCTCCTTTCAAACCCCAAGAGGTGCTAGGATTTGCATTTCAGTACCAAGCTGGTTTGTTGTGGAAAGTTTGTCTACTTCAGAAGCCTGAGATGCTTTTGTAGCTAGCATAATGGGACATCAAGAGAATTACCTAGATGCATTAGCCAGTATTTTCAGTACATTATCAAACAATTGCCAAAAGACACTTGTTCATTGTTAGTTCTTCTTATGGCTTTCTGTTTTCAACCACTTTGAGAATTCATATGGTAGTTGAATTCAGCATGTAATTGTATGTGTGAAGCTTGAAAATATTAAAAATTTGTTTTGGAGTCTGGCACGTCCTTAAGCTCACTCATGGAAATAGTCTAAATGGAGGTCTATTAAGTATTTTTCTGTAGACTGTGTCTAATTTACAAAATTACAGTTACTGGACAAAATTTGTTTTTTAATCATTGAAATGAAAATTAAGCTTGTTTATGGCCAAGAGGAAAAAGATCGTTAACAATCTTGAAGAAGTAAATGCAAATTGAGTTAAACTAATTAATTGGAAATATTCTTTAAAAAAACATACAATTACAGGTGTGCTTTTCAGTTATGTATCAGTTGTAGTTGGCTGAATGGATAATATTATCTTTTTCCAGAGCTCAGAGAGTTTTAGCTCTGTCTGCATGTTTGTAGCATTAGATGGGCACACTAATCTGGTAACTAGTGTGCATTTGCTCACCTGGAAGTGTGTGGACATTGGAAGCCCTGAGCACTTGCAGTGCTGCATGTTGGCAGGTGAGGCTATGTGTGTTGCACTTGCAAACAGAGATGCTGCTTGTTACAGCAAGGGACTGAGGGTACAGGGGAAGAGATACTGCCTTTATCTTAATGCATCTGCAGTGATCTGCTCATTAAAACCCCAAAGTTTTGTGCTCATCTGGCGTTTCTGAGAATTACTCCTGCATCAAGAGGACTTGATGTAACTGTCAGTGTTTTATTAAAACGAGTCCCTAGCAATGTCACCTGATAACAGCTAATATTGTACTATCTGTTGTACAAAATTATTTAATATTATCTAGAGATTTGATTTTGGTTTAATTTGTTACATATATGCAATTACATATTAAATACTTTCTCTTTACTTTCATACTGAAGATGCCATATCTGAACTGAAAGTACTGTCCTGTATTATTAATTTAGAAATAATCAGGCTTACTGATTTTCCTGTTATGCTACTGCTGTAGCATAACAGCAGGTTTTGCTACTGCAGAGACATAAGATTTCATTGCAATTGTCTGATAGAATTGTTTCAATAGCAAATTTGAAATGCAAAGTTATGATTATTTTCACTTTTATATATATATATATATATATATATATAAATGTAAAGGAGATTTCAGAAGATTTTAATTAATATTTTTTATAAGTAGGTCTTGGATTTAAATATGTTATTAAGTCATCTTACGTCACTGCCAGAGACATTGGAAAAAACTTTTAGGTCCAGTGCCAATTTTTTTCAGTGTTTTAGTCACATTTCCTTACTTGTATATAACATGCTTTTTACACATAGTTTTCAAACAGAAGTGTTAGGGAGTGATGTTTGCTCAATAGCATATGCCTAAATGTTCTTCAGCATTGTGATTTGTCCTTTGACAAAGAGAATGAAGAGTAGGTTGAAATTATTTAACTCTGCTGCACAACCTTAATAATCTGTAACATTAATTTTAAATTTGGAGGATACCGTCCCATCAAAAGTTTAGCTTTATAACCTGGTAATCCATATTGTCCTTTCTCAACACAGACGTTTCCAGCTTCACTGTTTTCCCTCTTTCTCCTTCTCCCCCATCTTCTGTTCGGTTTTGTGCCCAGAGCAGGATGGTGCAAAAATCAGTGCCCTGTCACCACCACAGACAGCAATGGGTAGCAGAAATACCTTATTCCCTTTGAGTCTATCCCAGATTTTTGACCTTCTTGGTTATAGAGGTTAGATTTAAATTCTGTCCAAATGAATTTTTTTGATGATGGCACAGACCAGATTCTTTGCATTTTAATGGTGGGTGTGGGTGGGTGTGTGTGTGTGTAGCAGAGAGGGAGATAGCTCCTGGCAATCTTACCGCTTTCATTGCTACTGCTGTCTTCTAGGATGTCACTTGATGGTGTTAGTTTTCTGCTTGTGATTCATGTGATCTTGTTGTGCCATCCTTCATTATTGTATGCTGTCTCTGCACCTACTGAGCAGTACTGCCAAAGAGGACAGCTGCTGGTTCAGTTGCTGTGGCATTGCCATGAATAAAAAAAAAAAAAAAAAGAAAAAAAAATCTGGATGTATTAATTACAGTATATTTCCTCTATGAAAAAAATCTATTCTGCATTTAATTAAAAGTACATGAAAAGTAGATCTGATCCATGAAAGGACCGTGCCCGTGGCTAAATATCTACTTTATTTTTCCATTACAGGATATTTGTGAAGATATATCTGATCATGTTGAACAAATACATGCTCTACTAGAGACTGAGTTTTCCCTGAAGCTTCTGTCTTACTCTGTCAATGTGATAGTCGATATCCATACAGTGCAACTGCTCTGGCACCAGCTACGTGTTTCTGTCCTGGTTCTGAGAGAACGTATTCTCCAGGGACTACAGGACGCCAATGGAAACTACACCAGGCAGACTGATATTCTGCAAGCATTTTCTGAAGAGACTAAGGAGGTACAGTAACTAAATCCAGATGGAAGGGTTTTATGTGTGTTCAAAGCAGCTCATCCATCTTGCACATTTAAAATTGCTAGGATGACAGTTTTAAGGATGACTTCTAGATATTTTACTAAATTCGTTTTAATTTAAAAAAAAAATTAGCTGATACCTGTTCCTTTGAACAAAATTAGTGCAAATTAAGATCAACTTTCAGAAATGTCATACTAGTGGCAATGTTTTCTAGCAATGTTTTCTCTTGATTGAAATATTTTTCAGAAAGGATTTCAAAGACTTAGAGTGGTGCATCTGTTCCAAAGCTGTTCATGTGGTCACTTGGGTATTTAAGGTTTACAGCCAATTCAAAAGTTAATTTCAGTGGGCAGTGATTTCTTCAGTGAAAGTTTAGACATTTCCTTTCTGCACACACAAATGTGAAACTTACAAAATGTTTTCAAAATTTTCCAGCCTAGGTGAACATTTCTTTATAGCAAGATGATGGTCTTTCATTTGAGTGGCAATTCTGCATTATGCCTTCAAAGAGTCATGCAGTTTTTCTGAGAAACAATGATGCAAGAATCGTACACTGTTTACTCTGTGTGCCAAATTTACATACCTATAAATGGTTTGTAAAGCTGGGTTCATTTAACTAAAATGCCTTTTCCTTTGACTTTATCATTACTAAATTACCTTAATTAGAAGGACACTATTGGCCTACATTTTTAAAACTTAAAGAAGGTAAACATTTTTGATAGTTAGGGTTAATAAATACCAGGTTGAAGATTTTTCGTTTTAGTCCTAAGTTTAAGATAAAATGCTTTTGTAATGATTGGGTGCATTTACAGAAAGAAACCTCTAGATCAGTGAAGTGAATTCTGTGACCTGTGTTACAGAGGAAGTCAGAAGTCCCCTATACACGTCCTGAATTTCGTATCACTCAAGTTCAAAGGGAATGTGAATAATTTTCTGCTCCATGTTGGGTTTTCTATTTTTCTTTGGCACAACGAAAGGGATGGTCCAGAAATCAGTGCTCAGAGATACCCAGGCCCACCTTCCACACCCCCTCTTCCTGATGTGTACATACCTGGCTCTTTCAGTTTCTGCTTTGCCCTTGATGGTAAACTGCTGGCAGGTCTGAAGGAAATGTACACTTGTCTTTATACCCAGATTTGTGTATTAGTGGGAAGTCATTTTATGAGAAGGACACAGTAATTTCAAGACATAAAGAAGGTGCATATTCAGATACTAAGAAACAGGAAATGTTCCATCTGGATCTGATTGCAACTGCTGTAAAAAAACATCCCTGCTATAGAGAGAAGGACTGACTGGGGAAGAAAAGATTATTTTTCAGTAGGGAAAACACATGTTGCCAGATAGGCTTACATGGTACTATGCCATGAAATATACTGACATTATTTTTTCTAATCCACCCCAATTAAAACATAAATAATATTTGATAAATTTAATGGCTAGCAATAGCAGGGACACAGAGTTGATATCAGATTTCTGCCCTATTGTTTGAATAGGTCCATAGAAACTGCTCTGCAGTGGAATACCTTCAGATATTCAGGCTTTTTATGAGGTATAATGATACTGGATTTAGTTGATGAACATAAAAAAATAAATAAAATGTAATGTAGGGACAATAGTATCTACTCTTACCCATCTTTTTTTTAGTGTTTGTAACTTTAAAGGAAGAATTATTACATAAAAAGGAAAAATAATTAACTAGAGCATTCCCATTGGTGGCCATACAAATAATTAAATATAATTTTTTTTGTGATAAAAACAATAAAAGCATGATAATACTGGCATTAAATAAAACTCACCTGAAGCACACATTTCAGAGGCTGCTTGGAAAATGACCAAGTAAGATGGTTTAATGCATATGATTGTAAATTTTATTCATGTATATAAACACATTTTTAAGAGACAAAAAAGTGCAACTCATTATTCAGAAAAAATAAAGGCCTTTAGGGCCTTGGAAAGGTTTTGATTTATATATGGTTTTACAGTTCCTAATAATTTCCTGAGATTAGAAGGACAATGCAGCTTGTTTAGTCACTATTTTCCTTAACAAATGCATCTCCAATATACAAATTTGACAGATTTATAGAAAATTTCCCTTTTAATTCTGAGCTGTTGACAATGCCAAATTTGTGGCATGGGATCTACATCTGGATAAAATTTGCTAAAGAAGAGATACATTCTGCATCCAAGAGTATGGCTGATATCTCCCCTTCTAGTAATTTTTTTTCTGTAAATATTTTTAGCTGGAGGATTTTATTTTTACTTTAAGTAAGGGAGGGGGGGTGGATGGAGTACAGTGCTCAGATATTGTATGTTTTTATCTTTATGGGCGTTGGGAAACAATAGCCTTCTTTATGAATATAATTCCTCTTCAGACAAATCCATGTAGTTTACTGTGAGATGGAGAGATTATGTGGTTACTGCACTTTCTTCAAGCATGATGCTAAGGGTCTTTAAACTATGGATTTGGGCAGTGTAGTGAGACAAGTTATTCCACAGAATAATTCAGACATAAACCTATTGCGGATACTCAGAGTTTGCTTCAAAAATATATTATGAGAACAAACCTGGAAAGAAAGACCAGTATACTGATTTAGGCATGTAAAATTAAAATCCTAGAACATGAATTTCATGATATTTCTTTTAAAGTAGTCTCCATAAGCAAAATTCCTATATAAGCATTAATTTGACTTTGATCTTAAAATCTCTTTTGCCACCTGAGATGGTCTCCTCTGGTTATGTCCATGTTTCTGAGATTGAAGGACTTCCATTGAGAAAATATTGACAAGGGAACATGTCAGTCTGGAGGCTTAGCGTTATAGTTTCTTTTCCTTGTGCCATTCTTCATTTGTGCTCTAAATATCTGGCAAATAAATTTTCAGATGATAATGCTACAAAAAAAGGGAAATATAATTAGCAGTCTCTACCTTATAATTATGGGAACAAATGTCCATCATTGCTGCATGATGCTTGGAAAAAACATTCTTCCAATCAACTGAAAGATGGTAGAACAGCATGGATTTTTGAGAAAACAAGATTAACGAGGAGACTGGTACACTCACCAGCCCCCAAGGTACCCTCCCTCCTGTTTGATGTAGTCAACACAGGAAATACTTCAAGTCTGCTGTATAGAATTTCTGAATCCCCACCTACACAGTAAGTAAAACTGAAAGCAGAATTAAATGAGGAAAATACCAACACAAAAGTGAGTTGCTGTTCTGTTTTAGGTAACTTGCTGTACCAGACTGAAATGAAGCATTTTTCAGCTTACTGCCATTTTTAATTCCAAAATATTTCAGAATGGTAAGCTTATTACAGGGTACTGCAAAAAGAGACAGGTCAGTGATGAACCTTTCTCTAGATGTTAGGCAGTGAAACATAGGAATTGTTTTTTGTTTCATTACTTTGTGTGTTCTGTGTATGAAAATTAATATTCCAAAAAAAAAAAACCAAACATTTCTTTGTGTATTTCAGGATCGTCTTGACTCTTTAACAGAAGTTGATGATTCTGGACAGTTAACCATCAAATGTTCTCAAAATTACTTGTCCCTGGATTGTGGTATTACTGCATTTGAACTATCTGACTACAGTCCTAGTGAGGATTTGCTTGGTGCTCTGGATGATATGACCTCCAGTCAAGGGAAAGCAAAATCATTTGAATCCTGGAACTACAGTGAGATGGATAAGGAATTTCCAGGACTTATCAAAAGCGTGGGTTTACTTGCAGTAGCAACAGATTCCATTGCTTCTCAGTGTAATGAAGCTTTGAAGGAGAAAGAAAATCATGTACCTCTTTCAGCAGAAGATGGAGAAGAAACCAAAGACAAGAAAGCATCACATGATCTCTCACTAGCATCTCCTTCTGGAAATTCCTCTCCTTCTAAAGGACCTTTCTATGAAAATGGTGTTTTACCTATTGACAGCAAAGCAGCTTCCATATCAAAGAATCCAGAGTGCAATCCTCCACAGCACACTGGTGAAAATACCAAACACTCTCATTGTGAAAATTCAACACCTAAGAGGTCCATAAGAGACTGCTTTAACTATAATGAAGACTCTCCTACGCAGCCGACATTGCCAAAAAGAGGTCTGTTTCTGAAAGATGATGTGTTTAAAGAGTATATAGAAGCCAATGATTTAAAAAGGCAAATGTCTCAAATAGTGAAAAATGAAATGAGTAGAAGTACACCCTCATTGTTAGATCCGCCAGACAGGTCCAAGCTTTGCCTAGCTTTACAGCTGCCCTATACTAACAGTCCATCTGCAGTTAGTCAATCATATGATTGCTTAAATACAATAAGTGATAAGAATCTTGAGTACACAATGAATAATCACTTCAAAGACAGTCCCATAATTCTAGGAAAGTGTACTTTCTACAACAGTAAAGAAAAATCAAAGCACAAGAAGTCTCATGATTCTCCAGAGAAGGTGAAAACTGACAGAACACCTGGAAGTATGTGTAAAACAGCTCCATCAACCCAGGCCAAAAAAAGAGGGTGTTCTCTGCAGAATGGAATTACTTCTCATAGCTCTAAGTCTCTGGACGAGACAGAAACAGATTCTTCTGCATCGTCAGATTCTTGTAACCATAGAGATCCAAATGGGCAATCACAAGGTAAAACTGAGCCCCCGAGCTCACCAACACGTAGCCAAAACAGTGCTTCTTCAGCTGGTTCTGAGCTTTCCAGCTCATCCCCTCTTCTACTGAGAAGAAAGAAAAATAAAAGCTTATCTTCAACACCACACTGTACTCAAAAAACCACTAAGGACAACGAGGTGTGGTATGGATCTGATGAATATTTAGCACTTCCTTCACATCTCAAACAGACTGAAGTATTAGCTTTAAAACTTGAAAATTTGACAAAGTTGCTGCCCCAAAAGCCCAGAAGAGAAACCATTCAAAACATTGATGACTGGGAGCTGTCAGAAATGAACTCAGATTCAGAAATGTATCCAACATACCAGACAAAAAAGCACAAAAAAAGGGGTAGAATTTCACCAAGTTCTTCAAGTGATATAGTATCCTCCTTGGGTGACAGTATTGAATCTGGGCCTCTCAGTGATATTCTCTCTGATGAAGATCTTTGTATGCCTGTATCTTGCATTAAAAAATACATTGAAGAAAAGTCAGAAAGGACTGCTGCCACTCAGCCCACTGGAAATGAGACCTCTTCTTCAAATAAATCAGCTTTAATTCATCAACTGATGCAAGATATACAACATCAAGAGAATTATGAAACCATATGGGAAAAAATTGAGGTAAGACAATAATCCTATATTCTTTTACTGTGTTCTTGAGAATGCTGTATATGGAGATGGAGCTGCTGGAAGGGATAAGGTTGCTTTTTTGTTTTCTTCTAATGCTGAAGATCATATCTGAAGACTGCTGGAAGTAGAGGAGAGCAGCAATTATTGTAATTATAATGGACTGAAGTTAACTTTAACTAACCAAACAGGATTTGCCCATATTATTTTACTTATATCAATGCCGTTAAACTTGGTAAAATAATATTTTACCAACCTTCTCTTTGCCATGATTCGGTATGTGACAAGTTATTTTTTGTAGGAAGGGTAAAATAAACATGAAAGAAACAGAGATCTTTGCTGTATTTGAATGAAGTTATACTTGATATCGTCTGCCTATTTTGTTCATTAAGAAGATTTGCTTTAGTCCAAGAATAGGAATCTTGATTCCTGTCAAATTAGGTATAATAGCAACATTTCTTTTTAATTAGTTCTCTTCCCTTGCAGTGATTATTTTACCTCCTGTTTTGGTGGAACTAAGCATCACTTTTTAAAAATTAAATTAATAATAGCAATGTATTAGTGCAATATGCTAGAGCAATAATTGTATACTATTCCATTAAACTTCAGATGAAATGGGACTTCACTGAGGAGTCTTTTTGAGAAAAAAGATAAACTTTGGAAGGGGAGGTGAATTTGAATGAATAATCAAATCAGGACCTAGTCGTCTCACTAATATAATTCTTAGATTATATTCACAGTAATGTTTCTTTTATTTTCTGATTCATGTGTCTTCCTGGCCATTGCAGAGAACTCTTCATCTCAGAACATTTCATGTCCATCCTCAATGGCATTTAAGTTTTCAGAAAAGAAAGCTCCACCTCTATTAGATTTCAAAATGCTTTAAAATTCATAACACATGTTAAAGGGTGATGTTTAGCATATAAATGCTAAATCTGCAATATCTTCTCTGTTATCAGGTTGTGTATGAACTGAGAAAAAAGGACTAGTTTTATATGGCCAGAAAGTCCTTCTTATCAAGCACAATTTCTGTAACTTTTGAAGGCATGGGAATTACTATGACTAGTAGGGAAATAGTTGAGCTAGAGATATTTTAATATAAAGTAGCGGTAGAAAATACAGAAAGAGAAATTTCGTCTTAAACAAATGAGGGTGCAGCAGCTGTCAGCTGTAAAGGGCAGTGTGTAATGATGCAAACTTTTCCCTCTGTCTTCATGGGTGGAGCTCATCTTCCAGACTTTGATGAAAGAACTGTCTTAGTAAGTGCAAATTGTTTCTGTCCTTGAGTCTCTGTAATGTTGAAAATTATTCCAGCTGAGGCTGACAGATACAGAGCCCTTCATTCTGGGAAAGCAACAAAGCCCATCAAAGCTGCTTGTGAATACATAAGATGCTGTCTTTCAAATGACACTGCAAGAGCCTGTTTAAGAATGGGATTGTTGAGTGTCTAGGGACCAGTGCCTTCCACTAGATGCTGACTTCCCCTAGGCGCGAAACAGGTGGCAGAGAAACTTCTTGTATCACACTCTCAAATCACCATATTTGTTTTTATCAAAAACTTTTTGAAAAGGTAATTCTCTTTCGAGGGGCATCTTTGTGTGAGTCCTTGCAGCTGCAGTTCACTCCTACTAGAATGGAGGAGTGAGAATCAGCTGTAACAACTGGCTGCAGCTGTAAACACCCTCTTCCCTCCATCCTTTCCTCACCTCCTCTGGAGCGTGGATTGAGCTTGTGACAGCAATTAAAAGTAGTTTGCTGTTCTGTGGCCAGGGTAAACCCTTCTAGCTAGTGATTCCAGCTGCTGCTCTTGCCCTTGAGAAACTTGACTGCTGCCGACACTGCACTTTCTACAATTTTTCAGTGTTTCTGTGATAAATCTTTAGAAAATGTTAATGTGGAATTTGAAAATAATCTCATGAAGTGTGTTTGGCTCATAGTAAAAGAAGGGCTTTAAACAGAAAGAAGAGCAGATGCAAAGAGGACTGCTAGGAAGAGAGAGCTCAGTATTCCATCAGCTTAAAAGCAGTGCATAAGTTTCATATTTCACTAAATGTGCTTCCTGAATAGTGACTAAAAATAACCAGGTGAAAATTTTTGAAATACTTAAGAAAAATTATACTATTTTAAAGAAATATAAGTTTTCCCCAAGCAGCTTATTTGCCCAAGTTTTTCTATTATTGCTAGTTACTAAATCTTCTTCTTGTAAGACTAGTTAAAAACCAATTTTTCACTTTTTCAAAAGCTCTGACCAAGGTAAATTTTGCCTCACTGACAATATTATGCTTTCCTGAGATACTTTAGTTTGACTTAAGTAATAAGAAACTAGAAAATTCTTCCTTTATATGTTGATATCAAATAGTGTGAACAAAGAGGAATCTAAGGAAAAATATCACACCTGTGTCACAGTTAAATTCTTTCTTTTACTAGATCTCGTGCTTCACAATTCCCTAAGACAAGAATCAAAAATGTGTCATTGCTTTTTTCAATTATTGTAAATTGGCTCTTGTGTTAATTCTGTTATCTAAGAACATGTATCCCACTCAAAAAGGAAGTTCCTAATTTCACAAATATGTCTTAGCAAGAATTCAATACTGCTTTTGTTAGTAGCAGTTTTGTGCTGAAGAAGTCAGATCTGAAAGGTGAACTTCATTTTGAGGACAGAAGAAGCATGCTTATTCCTGTTAGTAATACAATCCAGTTGCACTGCTGCAAATATGTCTAGCACGATGTATGTTATTTATTAAGATTGTAAACAAAACTACAATAATTTAGTCTTTCATTTTGGGGTTATGACAACTTAGAAACAACTGGAAGTCTCAAAATCATTGAAAGTAATGTTTTAGCTAGGTAATATGAAAAACAAGGAAATTTTGGTATTTTATTATGATTATTATGGGAATAATTTTGAATTAGTGTAAATCTTGTAATATCTTCACAGGAGGTAATTTGTTGAAAATATGCTTAAGCTTTTAAAAAAAAAAAGTAATAATTTCTTAGTTATAGAAATGATAGTCATGGGCAGAAACTGATAAATTGTTATTTTTCATACTTGCTAATTAGGTTGATATCCTTGCGTGGGCATTATCATCCCATTAGTATTCCTGTCTCTCTACAAATAGAACTCTGCTCGATTGCCCCATTTGCCATTATATAGGGCCACTTTCTTGCTTTGCATATTTTGTCATATTTTGTCTTCCACTGCAGGTAACAATCTGGCACGTTTTTTGTTAACGGGCACCTTCATTCTGGGGTGCAAAACAATTTTTGTGCCTGTTAATTTTGTTTCAGAAATTACTTTTTGGAGTACAATGTGAAAATGAGTGATAGCAAATTCTGAAAGTTCCTCTCATTGTTTTAGTTCAGCTTTTAGGAGCTGCCCCAAATTAATTTTAGAATGCACATTAAGCTCTATAGTTTCTGTTACACTGACTAAAAGGGGAACAGATATAACAGCAGCATTCTCAGAGATAACACCAATGGAGTTCTTTGCTATAAGAATTTGGCCTTTGCCACTTCTCATATGTGACACTAGGACTTCAGAGTATCAGTTTCAGAATGCTTCAAGGTTTACTTTCTGTGAGAAAGCTAAGTTTTCCTTAAAATCATATTAATAATTGCGGTTTTCCCCCATTTTTATGTGCCAACTGAAAAATTTGGAGCAAAAGCTTATTTTGGACTGGTCTAATGGCAATATATTTTCAATTATTTTATGTGAATAAAATATAATAACAATAAAGTAACCTTGTTCAGGCAGTTTTATCTCTTTTTCCAGAAATTGATGCTAGATTGACTTTACTGTTATCCTTGTGCTGTAATATGTGGTCATCGATAATTCCATCTACTTGTTTTTGGAGGGCACTATTAAAAAGGTTAGAAATGCAACCATTTGCAAGACACTTCATTTAAGTTGTGTTTGCTTTGTAGGCCTCAGAATTAATGGTATGGAGCAAATTGCTAATTTTTTGTTTGTTTTTGTTGTTGTGTTGTTGTTGTGTAGATTTATACCTTGTTTTATCAGAGGCTCCATTTTTGAAAGAGGCAGCTGAATTTCCTCTACAAGAAGCCATTTGATATTGAGCCCATAATTTCAGTACATCACATTTCATAAACTTGTTCTGAACTCCACTGGCTCCATATTTTGCCTGTGTAGCCCAGTCAGTCTTGGCTACCCACCTTCTGGATGTGATAAGGAGATAAAATAATGCTGCTCTATGAGTTTTTCAGCTGTCAGTTACAGCATGCCCCAGGGTTCCTACAGCAAAGAGATGGATAAAAATTTTACTGCCTTCCAGGACTAGGCAGGGAGCCCCTCACCCTTCTGTAACCATTTACCCCTCCTGAACCCAGGATGCCCCAGGAGAGCAAACTTCTAAGATCCCTGTTTTAAATTGTAGTAATAACTTTCCTGTTAAGAAGGCTCTGAGGATCAGTGCACCCTGCAGAGGAGAGTGCAGTATCATATCTAAACTTGTTAATGCGACAAATATTGTGACTGGTCTGTTGGGGTGAGAAAGATTTCCATTTTTAGAGAATAGTTATAAAAAGTAACTAAATGGTAGAAGACTTCTGCAAGTGCTTAATGGACTTGGTAGAGTAAGTTTGTGTTGGAGATCTGGCTGGAAGTCCATTTGAGTAGTGGAGAGCCAGTTTGTTAGAAAATTGTTGGAGAGCTGACACAGAGGGGAAATAATTTGTTTAGGCTGAAAGGGGACAGAGTTGCTTCTGGACAGAAAGTGGACTGAAAACACATCAGTATAGCTAAGGTAGAAGTTGGATTGCTTTAGAGGAAGTTGACTTGGTGATTGTTGACAGGTGATTAGAGGGAAAAGCTTGCACAGAGGTAAAATGCAGTTTGAGCTGTGGGGCTAAGGTAGTGAAAAACTAATAGGATAGGTAACTCTGATGAAGTTTTGTAACAGAGAAACATGGAACTGAAATCAGTAATGTCAGAATGGGAGGAAAAAAGCAAACGTAATCAACATGGCACAGACCTG